CTCTCTCTCTCTCTCTCTCTCTCTCTCTCTCTCTCTCTCTCTCTCTCTGTGTGTGTGTGTGTGTGTGTCACATCACTCAACTCTTACTTTGGTATTCTGAAAAACAATTCAGATAAATCGTGGCTTAGTTTGATCTATATAAACCAGATTTTAAATCATCATTTCCAAAACAATATTGGCAGCTGAGATGGCCATATTATGGGAGAAGATGTTCTTTTACAACAGAGAGGACTGTGTCCTCAGCCACAATAAGAGATGTTTTCTACTCTGGGCTTAGAAGCTACCCCAGGCTGGGCTCTGTTAGTACTTGAAAGGGAGAGCTCTAGGATGCCCCAGTGCTGTAGGGTAGGCTGGAAAACTGAAATTGAGGGATATAATCAGAAGCAGCAGTGGGACTATGGGCACTATTGTTTTATTGATATTGTTTGTTTTATTGTTTTATCTTCTGGCAGAATTGTATTTGATCACTGTTTATAAAGTGCCTCTAACAGAGTAAGCTGGGAAAACACAGCCATGGAAACCAGAGACCTGAGATGAGAAGAGAGACAGAAAAGGAATTTTTACAGTCTACTTCTACAAAACAGACAAAACCATGATCCTTTCATTGAGCAGGTCTTTAGAGAAATGGAAGTTCTGGAGCAGCTGGAACTGTATTGGTTCTATAAAATCTGGAATGTGACAAGGAAAATCAAAGCAACAGATACCAAAATTGATGTTTTAACACAATAGCCTAGAAATAACAACTCCTAGCTTCACAAAAGAAAGCCAAACTCTAACAGCACAATTAATGTGGATCCTCTACTTTGCTAATGATGTACATGTCTTTTTCACTTAGCCACTGTTATACTCTTTCAGCACTAACGCAAGAGATAGAGTTGTGAAGGAGAGATGATGGGACAGAAGGAATGTTACTTTCCCCTATCAATCTGGGGATAGGAATGGGAAGACCATGTAAAAGGCAGTTGGTGGATGGGATAGACGTTTAGCGTGCTTTTTGCTACAAATTCTCTTTTGCAAATCTCTCTCCCCTCCCACACATACAACGCCAGTGTTCACACTTAAAACACTAAAAGACACTTCCTGAACTTGAGATAACTTGGACTGCAAAACCCAGAGACTGAAGAGAATGTCATACACAAATTAATAATTACTGATACGTCCACTACAGATTTTCACATAGCTGGGGAAAAAATCATTTATAATTTTAACTAGAAATCAAATCTTTTTACAATCATATTTCCACCTTCCCCCATTTAGGCACTCCATAATTAAGACATGAATCCACAACCGTCAGTACCAAATATTTGCTACACAAATCAATATCATGGTGTTATGTCATTAATGTTATATATGATAGGCTTAATTACACATCATGTTCTCATTCAAAAGAAAAAAAATATTCATGGCTGAAGGTGATTTTGGTCATTAGTTCAATTGAGTGCATCACATTACATATTACAGCATCCTTTTTAATGGACTGAAAGAATGCTAGTGTATTAAAATCTGCTATGGACACTACTTTGCAAGAACATTCTTTGTTGTTCTTGAAAATGGAAAGCCACAACATTTGCAACATTTGTAACCTTTCAAGAATAGGAATATCCATGATGGAAGTCACAAAGTCACAAGCAAATACTGCAATGGCTGGGGCTGTTGCTTTTATACACCACTAGAGCAGACGTGACTGAAGTGATTTATATATTCAAGAATGAATCAATGAATCAATGAATGCATCAATGAATGAATCAATGAATCAATGTGTGCATGCACGCATACTAACTGGGTATTCATTCCCCATTATCACCATCTTCCCCTTCCCTTGGATAGAACTTCTCTGGAATTATTCATCCTCTAGATGTATTGATTCTTCTTTAGGGCTATTTATTCTTTGAGACTAAAAGGCAGTTTGAAAAACAGGGATGGGGGCCCAAATACCCGTTTCTCGTTTCAGTATGTTTTAAGAGAAATGCTGTAATATGCAGCCAAAACCTCTCCATTTCCGAGAGAAGCACAGAGCACATTGTTATGCATGTCAAGGTTCTCTCCGTCAACAAGCCATGTCTGGAAAAGAACACTGGTTGTTCCTACCAGCTGATTTTGGCGTGAACTTGTCCCTGTTGGCTGCGCAAACAGCCAGCAACCGATATCCAAGGTCCAGGTCAAAGCCCTGCTGTGCTGCCACTCTGCTAACAACCTGAGAAAAAAGGGAGAAAAAGAAGAAAAGGATTGTCACAGAGAGTTCCTGGAAAATCATCACTTGCTTGCCAACATGCTGCTGGAGGTACCCAACATATAAAGAACAGTAGTAGGAAGCTTTTGTTCTTCTCCCTTCTTTAATTTCTACTAGGACTGCACAATGTTTCAGATTCCATGTAGACTACCAATGGAGGTACATCAGAGCACATGTAGGTGTGAAGATAGCACTTGTCCACAAGTCTTTAAAATAGCCATGCACCATGTTCAAGCTCCAAAGAGCTTTTCTGGATTTGGAATCGAATCTCAAGCACTGCCTAGCCCTAATTTCTATTATCTGTTTTCCATTTTTATGATGAACAATGTGCACGAATGCCCTTATTTAGCCTAACTGCAACAACTTTGGAAGCACAGGTTTTTGTCTTCCCCTTGATGGCATTAGGAACTGCAGCACAGAGAACATGATTTGTTATAGAATTATGCAAGTTGCCTGCCACTCCTGACCAAGCGTAATCTGGTTTGAAGAATGAAGCTGTCTCTTACACCCTAGGAAGTATACATTGAACTTGGTTGTCACCAACTTTTGCTGTAAGAAAAAGGAGATTTCAACCCTAACAATAAACCACCAAGGTTGAAAGTAAGCCAGCTATCAAGAGGCCATACACTGGAGGCAACATACTGTACATTTGACTGCTTTTGAGATGTGACTTAAAGTCTTAGTTCTCAATCATTTACTTCACATCTACTTTCTTTCCAGGGACAATGGAGGAATGAAAGTTGACACAGAGGAGAACCAAATCACTTTTGTGATCCTAGAAAAAATAGGGCTGCAAATTTGCTTTGCATTTCTGGAAGCCTAGAGGGACAAAATAAGATTTAAACCTTCCAGACATTTAAGGTGCCTGTTCCACATCTTAAAATTCCTGATGTCTCCTGCCTTGTTCATGCCCACTCCTGGACTACAGTCCTTAACACACCTACTGCAGTCCTGGAGTTGATGAAAGCTATGCGCCCCTGCCTTCTTGAGATAATTTAACATGCTCTTCAAAAGTTCCAATATTGCATTTGATTGATTTGGATCACTTATATTTTATTTATACTTCTTCAAAATAATGGCTTCCATTTAGGCCCATGCCCACCTCAGATAACAGCACCTCCCAAAATAACCTGTTTATATGCACTACGCATGCAAAGTGTTACTTCTGAATCATATTACCATTCCTTTAATTTAGAAAATTAAAGAGGAACAGGAAGACAGCAGCATTTAGCACCGTTTTATTAATTTAGCATCAACCTTTTGTTTTCAGTTATACTTTACTCCAAAGAGCTTACGCTGCAAGAACTAATTTGTCACCACAGTTTTAATATAAAATCTCCTTGAAGAATTAAAGGAAGTGTTCATTAAATGCAATTATCTGTGTCCAACACTTCCTTGCTTTTAAAAATGGTACAGAACAGAATGGAAAGAAAGCTTTGTAATCATCTATCCAGGCTAATGAAATGCTACTATTTAGTATTTACTAGTCAGCACAACTGCGTGATTCTTCTTAATCCAAAGTACCTCGCACTGTTCACTTTTTCATAATTAATGATAAAATATTACCGTGCATAGGATACTGAGTTGGATGGGTGATTTATTGCAGTTTAAAAACTAGGGGTTAAGTA